TATTGTAAAAATATAACATTTTTAATTTACATTCTTTTTTTTTTTTTTTGAGAGGTTTTTGCTATAGGGCGCGTGGGCTCAGAAAGACAGAGAGAGACAGACAGAAAGTGAGAAATCACCCCCCGGGGGGGATGGTCACGCTGCAATCCCTTCGCCTCCATTCTCCTCTCAGGATCTTGGGCACGCACGCACACATGCCCGGCATGAGTTTTAAGCCACCGGGTCCGGGACGCGAACCGTGGTCGACTACATGGGAGTCCAGCGACATAGCCATTACGCTAACTGCTGGTTCCCACGACTTGTACCTCTTTTAAGGCTTCTCCTTCTCACAGCAAACTGCCCCCCCCCCAGCATGGCGTTCCCACTGGCCAGCACTCCCCCACACACACACATGCATGCGCCAGATTCTTCAAATGCCACCTAGGAGGGCACATTTCTGTACTCGAACAAACTGGGGTATAGTCCCAACAGATCAGATGCTCTGAGTAGATCTCAATTCTTACAAAGTATCAAAAATGGGTCCTCAGTGGTGTGCGGGTTAAGGGGACCTGAGTTTCGATTCCTGGTTGCTTGTCAGACGTGCCAGGAGCATGTGCACGCATGCCCCAAAGCTGAGAGAACAGAGGAGAAGGGGTTGCTGTGCGGCCATCCCCTTCTGGGAGTGCTTTCTCAGTCTTCCTGTCTATCTTTCTCTCTCCCTTTTTCCTCTGCCGAGTGCACGTGCCCTCCAGCAAATAAATAAATAAATAAATAAATAAGTGACCAGAGCGTCTGACTATCCTTTGCAGTAACTGTATATCGAGTATTAAACCACCAGGAGGCAGAGTTGTCTCACTAAACCGATACTTTTTTTTTTTGAAACCGAAATCAGTTTATATACATACCGTCAATCTAGATTGAAATGCTGACATTGCCATTAAGGTGTCTTCAATTATTTTCCAAGTCGATAAAGACAGTGCTGCTGTAAATTTGGAATAGGGAGTTCCCAATTACTCTACCAAACACATGGGAGTCACACTATTTTTCAAAAGTGAACTTTTTATCTTAGAATAATTTTAGTTTTCTAGAAAAATTATGTAGTACAGAGAATCCCCATGTATTTGAGCCTGGTTACTTTTATAGTTAATATTTTACATTTTTTTGAGAGGTTTTTGCTATAGGGTGCGTGTGCTTGCCGGAAGGACAGAGACAGACAGAGAGACAGAAAGACCTCAGGCACCGCAGTCCCTTCTCCTTCATTCTCCTCTCAGGATCTTGGGCACACACACACACACACACACCTGGCGTGAGTTTAAGCCACCGGGTCTGGGACTTGAACCGCGGTCGACTACATGGGAGTCCAGCGACATAACTATTACACTAACTGCTGGTCCTATATTTTACATCATTGTGGCAGATTTATCAGGAGTAATGAACGGATACATTTGTGCTAACCAAAATCCATGATTTGTTCAGATATTCTTAGTTTTTACTTAATATCCATTTTATGTCCCAGAATCTCATCTACGATAGCATGTTATAATTAACTGCCTCATTCAGCTCCTCCACACCATGCCATTTCTCAGATTTTTTTGTTTTTTTCTGACCTTGGCTGAGTGTAGAGATTCTGGCCTGGCATATTCTGTAATAGAATGTCCTTCGGCGTGGGTTTGTCTAATGTTGTCCTCATGGTTAGGCAGGGTTGTGGGTTTAGGGAGGAAGACTGCAAGAGGTTAAGTGCCGTTCTTATTACGTCATACTACTGGCAGGGCATATCGACTTTGAAGCTGACCCTGACCACCATAAAGTACTCCTGCCCCCGTACTACCAGGTTCCTTGGAAGGAAGTCACTATGCACAGCCCATATCTGAGGATGGGATGTTACGTAACCCTCCTTGACCGGGTACTGCCCCACAAATGATCTGGAATTCTTCCTTCCATGCAAAGGAAATTTACCTATTCTCCCAGTTTATTTATCTATGCGAGAGGCCTCATGTGTGCACGTGGAGGGGGAGAAAGGAAGCACCCTCCTACAGAGCCTGGTCACACCGCAGTCCTTTCCCTGCATTTCTCTGTCCTGTCAGATCCTGGGCACATGCACCTTGCTCCTGTTGCCACCGGGGCCTGATTCCAGGAATCTTGTTCCCTCTGTCCAGGGCGTCACTGCTGTGCTATGGGATCAGCCTCTAATTTATTGATTGATTCAATTTTTTATGTCCTAGAGACTCATGGATATTTGTACTTTGATTTTCAACCACGTATGGTCATATTTTATACTCCCAGAATGATAGTAACTACCAAGTTTTGAGAGGTTTTGGATGGCAGTAGCTGTACTAAGCGTTCAATATACACTATCTCATTTAATATTAGCAAGGATATTGAGGGGCAGGATTATCACCCTCTGGTCCCATGTGAAGAGCTTGAAGCTTACAGAGATAAATCATTTCTTTCCGTCAAACGATTGCTAAGCGGTAGAGAACGCGGATGCAAGTGCTGGTCTGCGAGGATTCAAAGCCTGTGAATTTCACGTTGTTTTTTTTTTTTTAAAGGAATGAATGTCTTTTTTTTTCATTTGAAGCGTTCTTTTGTTTGTTTGTTTTGCTATAGGGCGCATGCGCTCGCCAGACAGACAGAGACAGAGAGACAGAAAGCGAGAAATCACTCTCCAGGAGGGATGGCCACACCGCAATCCCTTCTCCTCCATTCTCCTCTCGGGATCTTGGGCACGCACGCACACACCCCCGGCGTGAGTTTTAAGCCACTGGGTCTGGGACTCGAACCGCGGTCGACTACATGGGAGTCCAGCGACATAGCCATTACGCTAACTGCTGGTCCCGAATTTCACGTTTGAAATACTGCCTCCTTGCTTCCCTGGGGAGTAACAGGCGCAAAGAGGTTGCGTTGTATGAGAACAATGAGAAAGGTGAAGACCAGGCAGTTTTAGGCCTGTAATTCCACTCCTTGTCCTACTGTTTTCTTCACTGAGACCTTAATAGTTTCCCTTTCTTGTCAAAATAACATTTAAAAAATTCAATGAGAAAGCATTGCGATCTTGCTAGAACACTATCATTTGTAATTAATACGAAATAAAATAGTCATATGCTAAATAAGAAATACACTATTTTTCCTAACTGTAGAAAAAGAGTCTAAAAATAATTATATTTCAAAACAGAGTGAACAAGGAAACAATGATCATAATGCATGTTCCGTGGTTTATGAAGCATATTTTTATGTGTAGTTTTTTAAAGTAAGCTTTTGTTTTAGAATAGTTTTAGATTTATAGCAAAATCATGAAGATAGTACAGAGAGCTCTTACATACCCCAAACTTAATTTCCTCCATATTATGTTAGTATGGCATATTGATCATCATTAATAAGCTAACATTGCTCTAGTGTTGTTAACTAAAGTTCCTGGTCTATTTAGACATGCTTAGTTAGAAGTAACGTTGTTTATCTGAGCTCATTCAGGATCTCACATTGCATCGGGCTGTCAGGATCCCTAAGCTCTTCTTGGCTGTGACAATTTCTCGAACTTTCCTTCTCTTCGATGATTTTGAACAGTTTTATGAAATACTTGTTTGGGGATTGTACATTGTAGGGGATTTCTTAAATTTTTTCCTAATATATTTGTCATGCTTAGACTGGAATTATGGAGCGTTAGGGGGATGATCACAAAGGTAACGTGACATTCTCATCTCATATATTAAGAATGCATACTTTCTGGGACTGACATGGTGGTTGAGCACACTGGACTTCCACATGACTGACTGTGGTTTGAGTCCCGAACCTGGCAGCTTGCTTTCTCTCTCTCTCCCTCTCTGGTTAAATAAAAATAAATCGATAAATCACTAACACTAAATAAAATAATTTTTTTTAAAAAAAGAATGCATACTCTCAACATGACTAGCCACTCTCATTGGCCTAGATCACACTGCTGGAGGAGATTTGGTCTAGTTTGCCCACTGCAAAGTGCCCCCCATCCTCCACCCTTCTGTAATGTGCTCTCACAGCCCACACTCGAGGAGTGAGGATTATGTAACCCTTTTTGAGGGGCAATACCTAAATAAATTATTTGGATTCTCCCGTGTGGGAGATCTGGCTGATCTCCCCAATTTATTTCTCCTACAATTTATTTATATCAGTGTAGATTCGTGAATATTTATTTTATACTTTGGGTTATGATCCAATACTATGTTTTAAATTTTGTTGCTCAAATCGTTCCTACTTTGGCCATTGGGCTCTTTCAGCTGCTCCTGTACCCATCTGACATATCTCTATTAACTTTATTTATTTGACATATCCCTATTAACTTTATTTATTTATTTAGTACCTTACTACTTTCTGGTACTAGAAGACACTTCAGGTTTGTCTTGCATATTTGCTTTCTCTGGTCTTAGAGTGAGCCATTTTTCCAAGGAGCCTTAATTCCTTCTTTTTTTTTTTTTGGAGAGGTTTTTGCTATAGGGCATGTGCACTCGCCAGATAGACAGAGAGACAGAGAGACAGAAAGCGAGAAATCACCCCCCCAAGGGGGATGACCATGCCGCAATCCCTCCTCCTCCATTCTCCTCTCGGGATCTTGGGCATGCACGCACATGTGCCCGGCGTGAGTTTTAAGCCACTGGGTCCGGGGCGCAAACTGCGGTCAACCATGTGGGAGTCCAGCGACACAGCCATTACGCCAACCGCTGGTCTCAATTCTTTCTTTAGGAGAATAGTATTAGAAACAAAGACCTGGGGGACCAACAGGTGGTGTGGTGGTTAAGGTGCTGGACTCTCCCACATGGTCAACCAAGATTCAATTCCTGGACCTGGTGGCTTGCTTTCTTACTTTCCCTCTCTCTCTCTGTCTCTCTCTCTGTCTCTCTCTGTGTGTGTCTCACTCTGGTCAAATTGAAAAAAAAAAGAATGAATAAATTAATTAAATAAGTAATTATTTTTTAAAAAAGAAACAAAGACCTGGGTGCCAGATTCATGCACACATATGAACACACTTCTGTAACTTTCTATTCTTTCTACAGTCTCCCGAAGTTGTTAGTCCTGTGTTGCTGACGAGCGACCTTCACAACCCAGCAAGCTCTCCCAGGCCGTTAAAAAGCCTGGCCACAGCCTGAATTTGAGGTGACTACAAATCATGCTTCTTTCAATACGCCCGGAAATAATGGCAAACGGAAGAGAAATGTCTATTATAATCTGCAATAGGATAAAAGAATGTGTTTTCTTTTTGTGTTCACTTTCTTCTTCTTCTTCTTTTTTTTAATACTAGAAAATGAAGAACTTTTCTCCTGGAAACCATTGTTTGGGAAGCTCTCAGGAATTGAAGCAAAGTGGTATGCGTTAGGGCCTGCTTTCTGAGGGCTCGGCCCTGAACCCCGGACCTTAGATGGGCAGCTCCACCCTGACTCACAAGATCAGATGAAGAGGAGTCTGTTTGGAGGAGTTCCTGGGTAGATTTCAGAGACCACTTGGCCTTGGGAGAGACGGAGGCTGGTGGGAAGGCAAGGAAGCAAGAGCATTGCTGAAATGGAAAATCCTAGAAGAAAAAAAAAGTCTTAGTAGAAAAAAGAAGGTCTGTGCAGGTAAGGTAGCTACACTCTTCCTTCTCAGGGCAGTTCAGAAGGTTTGGTGGGATTGTAATGAGGATTCATTTCCTGCCTCCACATGAGGCCCACAAATTTTTTCGTTTGGATATTTTCTGCATATTTGGATTAAACATTTCATTTCTGACTTCTCATCTTTGAAAATAATGATTTGTAGCTCATGGACTCAATCAAAGAACTTATGAAGCGCATCCTAAGGGCAAGCAAGACATTGGGGCTATAGGAGAGGCTAAATAGAATTTTAAAAATATTTATAGCAAAATATTTTTAATATACCCAGTTTTCTGATGACAACATGAAAGCATGTGTACTGTGAATAATGACACGGACACTTGACTAAAGGAAGGGATTCTTTTACTCAGATATTCACTGTCAGGATTTGCTGTATTTCTTCTCTATTTTCCTCTTGGTCCATAAATAATATTGTGCTCCTATTGCATATGAACACGAACGTATCGTATTTCTCATTTAATATCTGATTTCATTTTCAGATTTAAATATTTCCAAACAATTTGTTATTTAATGGCTGTGTAATGTTCTGTCATATGGATATACTCAGCTTGAGCAACATTGTGGTAAACTTTTGTGTACATATATTTTGAATACACTCAAAATGAGTCCCTTAGGAGCCATTTCTAGAAGTGGAATCAAGTGGTGATAATAAAAGCACCTGTCACCTAGCTGAGGATGGAAAATGGGTTGACTTAACTTACGGTGCTTGGTACATGGCAAACATTCATGTTAGGTGTGATTATTATAAATATAGTCTACTATGTAGTAAGTATTAACAAATAGCCTTCCAGAATGTTTTTTTAATTTTTAATGTAAGTTATCAAATATTTTCATAGTAATTGAAAATATTGTGAACTATAGCACTAGACTTTCTGAGTAATATCTGGGAAAAGGGACAGGGCCTCGACCAAAGGGACTGAAGAAATTTGTAACAGATTTTCTGAAGAGTGAATAGACAAAGTGAAAAATATGGAAAGGAGTGGTGAGGCAACTGTTACCATTAGACGTTAGGGAAGGGCAACCAGGCTCATGCCCAAATAGCATGTGCATGTGCGTGTGCATGTGTGTGTGAGTATGTGTGCATGTGTGTGCACATGCATGTGTGTGTGATGGAGTGGGAATAAAGATAAAGGGGTATAAGGCTCTTGGGTTGCCTACCATATTCCAGGGGCTAGGAGGCCCTAGCAGAGGAGGTTCCAGGCTGCATACCCAGGAGCAGTCACAGACTATCGAGGGCAAAATACAGGCCTAGTGTCTTTAGTGCGCTGAGTAAGGAGGCAGGCCAGCGGGTGCTCAGACACTTGGAATGCAGAGCTGGGGAAGGAATAAGCTGGAGACCCTCTGCTCTATCATAGATGTTCAAAGATCAGAGCAGAGAAAACCTTGGAGATTCAAAATGAAGGGTGATCACTGAGGTATTAAATTTCAGTAAGGGGAACTGGAATTTAGGGCAGCAGTAAAATAAGTAGATTAAGAGAACAAATGTAGGGACCAGCAGTTAGCGTAATGGCTATGTCGCTGGACTCCCATGTAGTCGACTGCGGTTCGCATCCCGGACCCGGTGGCTTAAAACTCACGCCAGGCACATGTGCGTGCGTGCCCAAGATCCCGAGAGGAGAATGGAGGAGAAGGGATTGCGGCGTGGCCATCCCCCCGGGGGGGGATTTCTTGCTTTCTGTCTCTCTCTCTGTCTCTCTCTGTCTGTCCGGTGAGCACATGCGCCCTATAGCAAAAACCTCTAAAAAAGAGAGAACAAATGAGAAAGAAAGCTCTTCGTCTTTCAACGTTCTTCTTTCAGTTTTGTGAGCTGAGAACTCAGGCATTCTATTCTGTACCTATTGATTTTACCTCTACTGTTTCCCAGGACGCTCCTGACAGTCTCATGGAGTACTTCATGGGGCGATTACCTCTATGCTGAGAGGGACTAAATGATTTAGGATATCACAAGGGTGGAGCAAATGGTATTGGTTGTATTTGCATATTCATTGACTGAGCCCAGAGCAGTAAAGTGACCTGTTCAAGATCTCACAGTGAATGCGTTTCCCACCTCCCCTTTCAAAATACTTGCTCACTTAATGCAGGTTAGCCTGCAAGCTCCTGGCTGCCGGATGCCAGTAAAGAGTGCTACCTGGGGAAGGAGTCCTCTGCAGGGCCACTGTCAAGGGGTGGAGCAGGAGGGCTGCAACACCTCATAGACAGTGTGGCTGCTGGATGGGCATAGGGCCATAGGGTCAATCTTTTTTATTTTTCTTTAACTTAAGCAAAAATTACAAACTTTTTTTTTCAACAGAGAACTTTCCATTCCTTTGTGGGTTACATGTTGGGCCAGCCAGTCTTTACAGCTCCTGGTAATGCCGAGATGATCTGGCTCTTACTTTCTCTCATTTGAGCAGCTGGGGTGTCCCCAGTGAAGCAGCGAAGCTGCCAGAGGTTGAGTGTGATTCCCCCTTTCCATCTTTTCAGTGCTCTCTGAAACTTACTTTCAAAGGTCCCAGAAACTCAGGGCCCCAATTCTCCCTTCTTAGACCCAGCACCCTCATATTAGACTATCCCTTCCAATGTTGAGAACTTCATGGAAGATGAGGTACCCAGTAATAAAAATAATGTTTGTCACACATTGACTCTGATTAAACATTTTATATGTATCATCTCACTTAACTTTATGTTGACTCCAAGAGTATTTTTTTTTTTTTTTGGAGACATTTTTGCTATAGGGCGCGTGCGCCTGTTGGAAAGACAGAGACACAGAAAGTGAGAAATCACCTCCCAGAGGGGATGGCCATGCCGCAATCCCTTCTCCTCCATTCTCCTCTCGGGATCTTGGGCACGCACGCACATGCTCCTGGCGTGAGTTTAAGCCACTGCGTCTGGGACTCAAATCATGGCGTGGGAGTCCAGCAACATAGCCATTACGCCATCTGCTGGTCCCAGACCCCAAGAGTTTTATTAGAGATTAAGAATTTCTAGGTCACACTGGCAATAAGTGGCAAGACAATAATTAGAGCCCAAAGTGAGACTCATACTCTTCTACTTTTTAAAAAATTATTTTAATTACTTGAGAGAGAGAGCTAGGCACACTTAATAGGGTCTCATCACACCCTGGTCCCTTTGTCCTAGCCCTCCCATAAGTCAGAATCTTGGGCACACACGTGCCTGGCATGTTGCAGACTGACTTGAGACCTCACCCCATGCTGGCTTCCACACTGCAGATGCGTACACTACCGGCTGGGCCTTCTGCTTTATTGAAGAAAAACTGGAATACAATAAACTTCACATATTCAAAGCATAAACTACATCGCGGCAGATCCAGGAAACCACCACGGCCATGCCGGTGATGGTAACTGTCACTGCCATCCAGGTTTTGGGAGCACTCCCTGTGAGCCCATAGGCAACAGTTGCACCTGCCCATCCTAGTCCTCTCCTGGGCTCACTAGAGCAGTGTCAGTCTCATCTTCCATGATAAGCAGCCAGAGAGTTGAAGATGACGGGCCTGAGCTTCCTCAGTTCCTCAACATAAGTCTCTTGATCAGTTCTTGCAGTATCAGCCTGGTCACCCTTCCCTAGGAGTTTCGGCTAGCTAGTTGAATATTTGGATGGTTCTCCAGTCTGCCAAATACCATGCAGCTTTTGCCACAAGCATCTGAGCTGGGCAGGTGGGCCAGGGTAGAAGGTCTCTGGGTAAGCTGGGCCTTCCCTGAATGCTCTTGTCCCAGTAGGCTGATGCTCTTTAAGACAGTCTTTGACCATTCAGTAAACCAGGTTGACTAAACACACAAACAGGGATACCGCTTTTAGAAAGATGAGCAAAAACCTTTTTGTTATTTTTTCCAGTTTATTTATTTATTTGGAGAGGTTTTTGCTATAGGGCATGTGCACTCACCAGAAAGACAGAGACAGACAGACAGAAAGCAAGAAATCACCCCCCCTCCAGGGGTGATGGCCACACTGCAATTTCTTCTCCATTCTCCTCTTGGGATCTTGGGCACGCACGCACACGTGCCTGGTGTGAGTTTAAGCCACCAGGTCCGGGACTTGAACCACAGTCGACTACATGGGAGTTCATAGCCATTGCACTAACTGCTGGTCCCTTATTTTTTTCTAGGATAGAAAAATATTTTAGGTACAGTTATCTTCAATTTCTACTACTTCTTTTTTTCCCCTTAAAAACATTAAGGCCTGTTGGCATTGTGGTTAAGGTGACTGAATCCTACATGGCCAACTGTAGTTCAAGTCCCAGATTGGGGGATTGAAAAACATGCATGCATGTGCATCCAGGCCCTAAATCCCAAGAGGAGAATGGAGGAAAAGGATCGTGGCGTGGTCATCCCCCCAGAGGAGTGCTTACTTATTTTCTCTCTCCCTCCCCCTTTTTCTCCATCTATCTCTCTAGCGAACACAGACACTCTATAGCAAAAACTACACAAAAAAAGGGACCAGCAGTTAGGGTAATGGCTATGTCGCTGGACTACCACGTAGTCAACCATGGTTCAAGTCCCGGACCCAGTGGCTTAAAACTCAGCCAGGCGTGTGTGCGTGCGTGCCCAAGATCCCGAGGGGAGAATGGAGGAGAAGGAATTGTGGCGTGGCCATCCCCCCTGGGGGATGATTTCTCGCTTTCTGTCTCTTTCTTGCGAGCGCACACGCCCTATAGCAAAAACCTCTCCAAAAAAAAAAAAAAATTACACACAAAAAATTCTTATAATTTGTCTGATGTGGAGCTGGACATATACAAATTATTTTTCTTCCCCTTACAACAATCACCTAGAATAAAGTAGTAGTATTACCCTATTTCATAAATGAAACTGTAGCTATGAGTAATTAAGCAACTTGCCAAATCCTTCATAGTTATGAAGTAATAGGTCCGTGATACAAGCCACCTGACTCTAAGTCTGGAACTCAGTGATTCAGGTTAGGGGATGAGTGACTGAGGAGAACAGTGAATGATGGCTAAAATCCCAAGTCAAAAG